GTCGCGCGCAGAATTTGCCTGCTTTGTGGTGGACATTCGTTGCGCGCAGATTTTGCCTGCTTTTGTGGTGGACATTTGTTGCGCGCAGATTTTGCCTGCTTTGTGGTGGACATAAGGTGCGCGCAGATTTTGCCTGCTTTGTGGTGGACATAAGGTGCGCGCAGATTTTGCCTGCTTTGTGGTGGGCATTCGTTGCGCGCAGATTTTGCTTGCTTTTGTGGCAGATTTGGCCTGCTTTGTGGTGGACATTTGTTGCGCGCACATTTTGCCTGCTTTTGTGGTGGACATTCGTTGCGCGCAGATTTTGCCTGCTTTGTGGTGGACAAAAGGCGCGCGCAGATTTTGCCTGCTTTGTGGTGGACACAAGGTGCCCGCAGACTTTGCCTGCTTTGTGAATAATATACGGCGCGCGCCCAGATTTTGCCTGCTCTGTCGTGGAAGCAATTTTTTTCCTGCTTTGTGGTGGACATAAGGTGCGCGCAGATTTTGCCTGCTTTGTGGTGAAGATAAGGCGCGCGCAGATTTTGCCTGCTTTGTGGTGGACATAAGGTGCGCGCAGATTTTGCCTGCTTTGTGGTGGACATAAGGTGCGCGCAGATTTTGCCTGCTTTGTGGTGGACATTCGTTGCGCGCAGATTTTGCCTGCTTTTGTGGTGGACATTCGGTGCGCGCAGATTTTGCCTGCTTTGTGGTGGACATAAGGTGCGCGCAGAATTTGCCTGCTTTGTGGTGGACATAAGGTGCCCGCAGATTTTGCCTGCTTTGTGGATAATATAAGGCGCGCGCAAAATTTGCTTGCTTTCTGGTGGACATAAGGCGCGCGCGCAGATTTTGCCTGCTCTGTCGTGGACGCAGATTTTGCCTGCTTTGCGGTGGACATTTGTTGCACGCTGATTTTTCCTGCCTTGTGGTGGACAGAAGGTGCGCGCAGATTTTGCCTGTTTTGTGGTGGACATAAGGTGCGCGCAGATTTTGACTGCTTTGTGGCGCACATAAGATGAGCAGATTTTGCCTGCTTTGTGGTGGACATTCGGGCTCAAATTCCGCCAAGCCAACCAACAAATGTAAAGCAACTTGACACTTGTGATGAAAAAACTGAAAATGTCCTAAATCTAATTCTCACATTGAATGAATTCTTGCTGTGGTTGATGTAGTTTCGTGGAATTTTCAGTGGCAGGGCTTCATTTTGGTCTCATATTCCGCCAAGCCAACCAAAAAAAAAGTAAAACAACTTGATACCTGTGAAAAAACACTGAGAATGTCCTAAATCTAATGCCAAAGTTCTTACAGCAAACGAGTTCTTGCTGCGGTTGATGTAGTTTCGTGGCATTGTCAGTGGCAGAGCTTCACTTTGGGCTCGTATTCCGCTGGGCCAACCGCAAAAATGTAAAAAACAAGGAAACCTGAAATAAAAAAATTGAAAATGTCCTAAATCTGATGCCCAAATTCTTACATTGAATGAATTCTTGCTGTGGTTGATGTAGTTTCGTGGAATTTTCAGTGGCAGAGCTTCATTTTGGGCTCATATTCCGCCAAGCCAACCAAAAAAAGAGTAAAACAACTTGAAACCTGTGGTGGACATAAGGTGCGCGCAGATTTTGCATGAACATAAGGCGCGCGCAGATTTTGCCTGCTTTGTGGCGGATATTCGTCGCGCGCACAATTTGCCTGCTTTGTGGTGGACATAAGGCGCGCGCAGATTTTGCCTGCTTTGTGGTGGGCATTCGTTGCGCGCAGATTCTGCCTGCTTTTGTGGTGGACATTCGTTGCGCGCAGATTTTGCCTGCTTTGTGGTGGACATAAGGCGCGCGCAGATTTTGCCTGCTTTGTGGTGGACATTCGTTGCGCGCACATTTTGCCTGCTTTTGTGGTGGACATTCGTTGCGCGCAGATTTTGCCTGCTTTGTGGTGGACAAAAGGTGCGCGCAGATTTTGCCTGCTTTGTGGTGGACAAAAGGTGCCCGCAGATTTTGCCTGCTTTGTGGATACTATAAGGCGCGCGCGCAGATTTTGCCTGCTCTGTCGTGGAAGCAGATTTTGCCTGCTTTGTGGTGGACATAAGGTGCGCGAAGATTTTGCCTGCTTTGTGGTGGAGATAAGGTGCGCGCAGATTTTGCCTGCTTTGTGGTGGACATAAGGTGCGCGCAGATTTTGACTGCTTTGTGGTGCACATAAGGTGCGCGCAGATTTTGCCTGCTTTGTGGTGGACATAAGGTGCGCGCAGATTTTGCCTGCTTTGTGGCGGGCATTCGGGCTCAAATTCCGCAAGCCAACCAAAAAATGTAAAGCAACTTGACACTTGTGATGAAAAAGCTGAAAATGTCCTAAATCTAATGCCCAAATTCTCACATTGAATGAATTCTTGCTGTGGTTGATGTAGTTTCGTGGAATTTTCAGTGGCAGGGCTTCATTTTGGGCTCATATTCCGCAAAGCCAACCAAAAATGTCAAAACAACTTGAAGCCTGTGATAAACAAACTGAAAATGTCCTAAATCTCATGCCCAAATTCTTACATTGAATGAATTCTTGCTGCGGTTGATGTAGTTTCGTGGAATTTTCAATGGCAGATTCCGCCAAGCCCCAAATCCTTACATTGAATGAATTCTTGCTGTGGTTGATGTAGTTTCGTGGAAATTTCAGTGGCAGAGCTTCATTTTGGGCTCATATTCCGCCAAGCCAGCCAAAAAAATCAAAAAACTTGAAACTTGTGAAAAAAACTGAAAATGTCCTAAATCTAATGCCCAATTACATTGAATGAATTCTTGCTGTGGTTGATGTAGTTTCGTGGAATTTCAGTGGCAGAGCTTCATTTTGGGCTCATATTCCGCCAAGCCAGCCAAAAAAATCAAAAAACTTGAAACTTGTGAAAAAAAAAACTGAAAATGTCTTAAATCTAATGCCCAAGTACATTGAATGCATTCTTGCTGTGGTTGATGTAGTTTCGTGGAATTTCAGTGGCAGAGCTTCATTTTGGGCTCATATTCCGCAAAGCCAGCCAAAACATGTAAAACGCTTGAAACCTGTGATAAAAAACTGAAAATGTTTTAAATCTAACGCCCAAATTCTTACATTGAATGCTGTAGTTGATGTAGTTTTGTGGAATTTTCAATGGCAGAGCTTCATTTTGGGCTCATATTCCAACGAAAAAATGAAAAACTTGAAGCCTGTAAGAAAAAAAGCTGAAAATGTCCTAAATCTGATGCCCAAATTCTTACGTTGAATGAATTCTTGCTGTGGTTGATGTAGTTTCGTGGAAGTGGCAGAGCTTCATTTTGGGCTCATATTGCGCCAAGCCAGCCAAAAAAATGCAAAACAAAAAATTGAAACCTGTGATACAAACAACTCAAAATTTATTAAATCTAATTCTCGGGGAAGTTGAGTCACATGAATTTTGCCTCCTGGCTCCAGATTAGCACGGCCCGGTCAACGCACAAACATAAAAAAGGCACATGTTCCTTTCAACACGGCGATGCCACGGTTTCACAAGCGCAATCGCACTCCTCGATCTCTGCAGCGTCTGGAGGGCGATCGTCATCATCATCATCCAAAACAGCCTGGCGATCTCTATGGCTAGCACCAAGCAAAACAAGCCGACATCCATTTGTATGTCTCCATGCTGTGTGATCCACAAAATGGCTTCGGTTTGCTCATGTGTACTCCATGGCGCGCATGCACGGGAAACGCATGTGTGGTTTGACAAATCCAAAGTGCGGCAACGTTTTCTATTTTCCTCATGCAAACGTCTCGCCTTCCGCGCCGCCGTCATTTGCAGTCATCTGAAGGTCTGCCCCCAACAGGTCGCAAATGCAGTCTTTGCAAATCATCATGGCTGAGCTGAGCGGAGTCCCGCGTTTCGAGTAGGCGTCTCTCTGTAAAACTTCAGGAAAGAAACATGGCAAGCGTTGAATTTGGAACCACATGGCACACAAGGAGCCGCGCAACAACCCGTCCTGTCAAGGTAAGGCGCAATGATTTCCAGCGAGCAGCTTAGACAGGCTTTGTCACTTGCAATTTCCCGGGGCATTTTTTCATACTCGGCCAATGTCCTCTTGGGACGGGCTGCCCGCGGTTGCAAACCATCTGTGATGCCGCAAGCCAGCCTAGCTGTCTGCTATAAAGCCAAAACCTCGTGGCCATTCGTTCGTGCAATGAAACAGCTCGATTTGCCTGGCAAACGCTTGTGACGCATCCAACGAAAGAGCAGTTGTGAAGTGTGTCTTGCAAACACGCGCAAATTTTGCTAAACATCTGCTCATTGTTCCAACAAATTGGGCGGAAAGAAGCTACCAAAACACATGTGAAAAACATAAACATTACATTTTTTAGCTAAACATACACAAATTTACTACACACAAAATTACTACACACCCAAATTACTACACAAAATTTACTACAAAAAATACTACACAACAAAAAATGTATTTTTGGCCAAATTACTAAACAAAAATGTGTTGTAAAAATGCCCAAATTACTACACAACTGCCAAAAATTACTACACACAAATTACTACACAAGATTACTACACAAAAACACAAAAATACTACACACAAATGATGTAATTTTTTGGCGTAGTAAAATTACTACACTTTGATCCTTCAGGCAATGACTCGCAGCGAAACTTCGCAGCCTTCCCCGAAGTCTGTGAAGCGACAAGACGCGCCGCTGGCCCTTGCGGTTCCCAAACCTTCCAAAACGAGCAATGGCGGTGCTAAAGAGCAGCGCGTGCTTGCAATAGCGAGCGTGAGTCGAAGGCTTCTGGGCCTCCGCGAGCCGGAGCAGCACCAGGCCTTTAAATTTTGCTGGAGCGCGCAAGTCGGGTGTCTGCGCGCGTCGTGCGAGGGCCACGTTTCAAGCTCAGGGCCAGCGAGTTCCACGCAAAAAGGGCTACGCAAATTCGACGTTGACGATTGCTGGGCGCCAACCCTGCTCGAAACACCGGGGTAGGCTGGAGCGCCGGCGCAGCCCGTGAACTTGGCGACGGGGCTCTGATTTGCGCGGGCCTGGGCAAAGGCCGCCTCCTTGACCAAGGCGACAATACCTCGCGAGAACAAGCGCCAAAAAATCCTGGCCAGCCTGAGCCTCGAAAACCCCGAAGCTGGCAAAATGAGCTGAGCTGCCCCAAGCAGAGATCAACCCAGCGCCAAAGTTGCTCTGCCAGTCGCTGGGCTGGTGCAGCAACACGCCTCGTTGCCAGTTCAAACGGAGCTCTGCTGCTGGCGCGGCAGCAGTGCAAAGCAACAACCAGAAACAGGAGCAGCGGCAGCAGCAAGCAGCAGCAACTACAAGGAGAACCAAACAAAACAGGGGCCCTGCCTGTCATTTTTACCACAGCAAGTTGGGCGGCGTCCCTCGCGGCCCTGGAAAATGAACGTTAGCGGCACGAAGCAATGGTTTTTACCACGCGTGATTTGAGGGTTGTTACAGGTGAGTTACCCAAAAAGTTGAAACACTTTCATGCGGCGGGTGCTTGCACTGCCGCGGGGGATCGTGGCGGGTGTGTTTATCATTTGGCTAAATTCTTATCAATTGGTTAACGTGTTTGCGCTGCTGCGGGGGTAAGCCTGCGAGTAGCGCAACGCTGCAGCATTGGCCTTGCCATCCATCCAGTTGGCAAAGATGCGGTGGCACCCTCAATCGATTTTTCCGGGGAAGCTAGCCGTCAGCCTCAGATGCCAAGAGCTGGGCGGCACCTCGATTCTGCGGCAGTGTCAGAGAAAAAGCGCACACAGCTGCGGGCGCTTCAATTTCTGTGGCAAAACCAGCAAAAGCGTGCACACTACCGGAAAGAAAGCGGCAGACACCTTGGTTCGGTGGCGGAGCCCACGAAAAGCACAAAGGACAGGTGATACGATTCTGTAGCGCCGCGGGCAAGGGCAGGCGCCGCTGTTGCCCTACACAGCTATGAAGGAGGAGAGGTGGCAATCCGTGCAGGTACACAGCTTGTCGCCACTATCAGCAAGCAACTTTGCGTGAAAAAACAATAGCAGGTGTGGCTTATTCGGCCCAGTTTTCGATGCCATTTTCTGACCACCAAAAAGCATTAAGAAGACGAGATTCTGAGCCCATCTTTACGGTGCAGCAAAACAGCTTGCCCGCCTGCGCTGGAAGCGAGGCTGTCTGCGATCCGGTTGGTTCGCTGCCGGCAAGACTTCGGTGGCTATCAGGGCGCATCATGGAGAAGCTGAATTCGGTAATTTTTTGGGTCCTGTGGGGCCCGTCGGCGTGGGGCAAGTGCAAGCGTGCACCCTCAGAATTGCGCCAAGCGCCGGGCTGCGGTACCGTTCTGTGGGGTCAAAAGAAAACAGGCAGCCTCAATGGTTGTGGGTTCGGTTCTGTGGGGCACAAGGAGCGCAAAGAAGCAGGTGTGGCTCTAGAGCCCTCGAAGGGGTCGCAGGCGCCATAGGCTACGGTTTCAAGCTTCGTCGCAGTGCGCCCTTGAAATGAGCTTCCTTGCGGTCAGCAAGCAGACCAGAGCAATGTTGGAACGCGGCCACACCTTTTACTCATCGTCTGGGAATGGCTTGACTCGTGTGTATGCGTTAAATGTGTGTAAGTGTGTGTGTGTGCGTATGTATGTGCATGTGTGCGCGTTGTGTGTTTAACGCAATGGAATGCGCGCGCGCAGTGTGATTGCCCAAGTCTGACCTTGCAATTATTATTGCAGCGTTTTGTCGCTTTATCCTGCTTGTGTCCTGGTGCTTTCTCCGTGTAACTTTAGTTATTTGTTAAGATAGTGCGACGCATGAACCATGTGGGCCACTTGTTCCGCACCGTGCCTAATTGAATCTGTTGAACGATTTTGAACGCTTTCCAGGGGTCCTGCGCGATCTGCTTCCATGCAATCTGCCCAAAAATTCAGCAAACCCACGCCATGCTGAGGCCCGGGAAAGCTCCGCTTCGCTTGGCATTTAGGCTCTGACGTTGGAAGCAGAAGGCGAATACGACCTGAATGTTGGAAACTCAAAACAGGCAACTCAGAAGAACTCACAAATTGATAAACATCCAACGGTCGCGCGTCGCTTGCCTGCACATAGTTCATGGAGGTGGCCTTCGCGGCGCTTTCCAGCTTCAGACCTCAGGCAAATCGGGCGCGGAACCCTTGGGTCAGTCTGCGCATGCGATTGGGCTCCACTTTTCCTATTTTATATCCACGGCGTTTACTCCGCCCTTTAGGAATCATTCTACAATTTCAAAAGCAGCCTAGTTTTCTACTTTTCCCCAGAGGGACGGGCGCTATGAACAAAGATTTCATTCTGCTCAAAGTGCCTTACAAACTCCAAAACAAACAAGCCTCTTGGAAATTCACATGTAAGTTGCTGCGCGCGTTCTACTGTTGTAGCTTGTCTGGTTATTCCCATTGTCCCCAGAGGAGCTTGCACTAGTTTGGGAACTCTAGATGCTTAGGTCTGTTCTGGGGAATCCTGTTTCCCCAGGTGAATTCAAGACGTCCCTCGGTAGAAGGACGCCGCATATGGTTGCGCAAAAACTTTGGGGTGTTCGTTTCCCCCGGTCCGCTTTTGCATCCTCAGCAGCACCAGCGCAACATGGGCCACTGAGATGTTAAGATTGTAAGCCTTTCAGTTTCAGCCATGAAGGTTCTCAGCTTTTAATCCTCTCAAGACGGTCACATCTGCTAAAACACTACCTTCCAGTTGACCTGCGCCCGGCGCGCCAATGGCTGCGTTTGCACGGCGGGACCCGCGCTTGCGCCTTGCGCGCCAGTAGGGGCTGCGCCCTTTGCGGACACTGCGCTTCCTTTGGCAACACTTGCTTCAGCACTTTGGGATGGATGGACCGGTAGGGGCTGAACCCTTTGCGAGCTTGGCACTTCCTGCGGCATCACCCTGACGGGTTGCAACATTGTGGAGTGTGACATGGCATTCAACAGAGGTTGCACCGGGCAGCGGGGCGCCCTGGCCCTCATCAGTCGTACGATGGGGACCTGCTGAAAGTGCGTCCTGTTGTGAAGATTTATTACTTCCACTCTGCACGGCTGCTTGGTCTTGCAGTCCACTTAACGTTGTCTTAGACAGGTTACCCACTGACACATCCTGACCGCCCAAAATGGGTGAGCTTCGGTTATGTACGAAACAGGTGGAGGGTATTGAAATCCGTACCATTATTGGCTTGCGCTTGCGGGGCACGTTGTTGTAAGTGAGTCGGATTCAAGTAAAAGGGCAACCATTTTCTCGAGTTCACCTAGAAGCTTGTTGAACCCCTTTCCTGTAAACCTAAAATGGTGGCATCACGCTGAGCTATGGCGCGTTGAGTTTCTTGATAAAGGTTTGGGTCTAAGCCTGTTCAGCATTAGCTCTGTTGAGAACTTCAGCTCCATACTTTTCTTGCTCACGTGCGTAGCTCACGGCCTGTTGAGCTTGGCTTGCAAGGTTCATAGCTTGATCCGTTTGTTGGGCGGCTTCCCGGAGTTCCCCTCCATTGCTGTCGAGCATGATTGGCGGCCTGAAGTGCCACGTCGGAGGCTACTATGCCTAATGAGAGACCTAACTGGCACCGTTGCACCCGCAAGCTCAGGGTCATAGTCTGCGTGGTGCGACGCCAGGGGAAACCATGCCTCAAGTTTTTCCCACGCACACAAAGCAAGTCAGTGCGCGAAAGGCAATCACTCTCCTATCTCCTAGGCCGGTGATCTGTACTTGGTGCGATTGTGAGATGTGTGCTTGCGGCTACAACTCAAATGCAGATGATTGGCTGTTGCAGCAACACAGTCACACAAGCATTGATATTAACCTGACGTGGGGAATCTGGAATCTTGTGCGGACTCGTAATCGCAAATGCAAATTTGATACGAACGCAATGAATCACCAATGCAGTTGTGCGATTGGGCAATCGTGCGAGGGCCGCAGCGTGCGAGACTTTGGAGCGCAAGGCTGCTCCCGTCGCAGAATGAGCAAAGGCTGCACCTTGTCGTGAACGCCTAGAGCCTGCTACCTTTGGACCCCTTCAAGAAGCTCTGAGGCAGCAAGCACGCTGGCGGTTGGTGTAGTCCGATGCGTCCAAAGTCAGTCGCGCCCCTGCTCTGGAAAAACTCGGAAAGCGCGCGCACCAACCAGTGAGGCACTCTTCGCGACAGATTGTGGCGCTATCGCCAATGAGGACATGGGCTGCCCAGCCGCGCAGCACGTTCACCTTGCCTGAACTGGCAATTGTTCATGTTTTTAAAGTTTTTTTTTGCATTTTGCATTTTTCCAGTTTTTCGCGGGCATTTGTTGCTCGATTTATGTCGCTGAGGTTGACTTTAGAGAAGTTAAGTGTTTGGGTTTCAAGTTGTTTTTCGGTGGGAAGGGGGGGGGGCAGGACGGGACAATAATAATGCGCCTGTGTGCCCATTGTTGCGAAAGGCTTGATTCCTGCAGCATCGTTTTTCGCTGGCTGCTCGCCTTCGGAGAGTCGGAACGGAATTATTTTTTTCATCTCGTTTGTTGTTTGAGGGCTCGGTGGCTTGCCCCGCCCCACCCCCCCTCCTCCCAAGCCCATCAATGATTGACGTTGTTGCGTTTGCTTGCGCGGGTTCGGTGGCTTGCCCCGCCCGGCCCCCTTAAACAAATCCTTTCGCTGGTTTTGGCGGCATGCCCCATCCAGCAATAGGGTGCCCAGCTCCCCCTTCCTCCAAAGTGAAGCCCGCCAACGATTGAAGTTGTTGCATGTGCTTGTGCTTGCGGGTTCGGTGGCTTGCCCCGCCCGGCCCCTACGCCTTCTGCAAGCAAGAGGGAAGGCGTCTCAGGGCAAAAGAGTCTCACAGGAAAGCTGTGAGCTGACGAACGGACATGCGTGATGCGACGCAAGAGCCGCCCAAGTCGTATGTTTCTTGCGGATCATATTTTTCAAGCGGATAGATGTGTTTTTGCAGAGCAGATATGCTTGTTGCGGTGTGCGCTTGCGGGTTCGGTGGCTTGCCCCGCCCGGCGCCCACAATGACTTACGCTGGTTTCGGTGGCATGCCCCATCCAGCAGTAAGGATTCAGAAGGGGCGCTTCTGAAACCGCCCTTTTCCGGAAGCGTTCTCAGAAAGGCTTTCGTGTGTAAGGGCGGCTCGAAAAACAAGACTTTCGTGGGAAGTCTGCCTGCAAGTCTTGTTTGGTTTTTTGAAATTTCGGCTCTGACATGTTGAACTGCCCGTAGAAGGGAAATAGCGTGAGAAAGTCTACCAATGGCACGGGGGCCTGCTCGCAAAAAAGGCAGCGCAGTGAAGCAGCTTTGCTCCTACAAGAAGTGCAGAGCCAAGAAGGACGTGAAGAACAAGTGCCACACAGCTCGCCGTGAGGAAGTGGATCTTGAGCAATGTCGGCCCTTAAGAAGCCACTGTCAGACTGTAAAGTTCTGTTGGTCAAACGCATTTAGACGCCTGCCTATCAAAAAAGAAAAAAGCTCCACCCGTTGGAAGGGAAGCTCTGGGCACGCAGCAACTGGCCAGTCTTTTTCAATCCTTGGTGGAGCTAGGCCGTGGCCACAAACAAAAAAAGGGTCCTGCGGGCTGCGTGGGGCTTGTCTTTGTTTACAAACTTCAGGTTCGGAAAGACTTGCAGCGTGCCCGTGTCCATGTCTGCCAAATCGCAGTATAGCTGAGCAAAAGCTTCGTGCTCCGACGACAAGAGCTGTCCCGCCAGCTGCTCGTCGGCTGCTGCGTCGGCGTTGAACACCTCACAACGCGCCCAAGCCACTGCTGAAACGCAACTGCGTCCAGCTGGGACAAGCCACCTGAGCTGGCACAGTTGGCTTCAGGCAGTCCTTGAATTCTTCTGCACCAGCAAAAGGGGTGGCCAAATCATGAAGCAAATGCACAACAGCCGTGGCAACTCCGACCGCAGAGAAGTCATGAAGCTTCCGTGCGCCCAGAAGCATGTGCTGAGGACGCAAATCCTCTGCGCACGTTTGCCCTCGCAAGACAAGGATCGTCTTTGAGCAGTCCGAGTGCACAGTGACGCAGGAGGCAGCGTTGAGCGTTTGTCGCGCGCGAGCCCGCAGCGACTCGGCCAAGCAAAACTTGAGCTTCTGGGCTCGGCGGCGAAGGATCTTGCCGCCGGACCAGGCAATCCCATCATCACCGCCATCTTTTCCCTTGCGTGTAGCTCGCAGAACTGCGATGAACTCTTCGAGAGATGGGGCCATCAGACGCAGTCGGATGTCTTCATTTGATGCTGCGGCCTGGTGCCTTTTGGTTTTCTCATGGTCTCGGAAGTGGCTGACCTGCCATGAAGCAATGGTTCGAAACTCCGCTGACATATGCCCAGCAGCTTTGCAGGCAGCACAGCTGACGGAGAAGTCGCCTGTGTCCCACTGCACAGCCTCCAGCCACGGGAACTGCTCGGTCCACCGCCTGCCAAAGCGGGCCCATGCGCTCTGCGCGGACATTCCGGGCAGCTTGGGCCAGAGCTCTGTCCAGAGGGCGCTTGCGGAAAAAAACTTAAGTTTACGCACGAAGTTCCTGTCCAGAGGGCCTCTGGAATCCGAAGGTCGACTCAACAAGCCGCAGCGCTGTGGACTGTCCAAAGAACTAGAAACGTTCGAACACCGGGAATTTTGCGTTCCCCGAAATCCAAGAATTGTAGTCCACTCGACGGTCCGCAGCGCTGTGGTTTGTGGAGACAACTTATGGAAACCGGAGACCCTCTGGACAAATGGGGTCTGTGGAAAAAAACTTAAGTTTTTTTCCGCGGACCAAGCTGATCGGGCGAGCGTACGTGTCATGTGGGAAACTGGATGGACGTGACCGGACTGTCTCTCGGCAACCCTTGATCCTCAGCACTTCATGACGCCGGACGTCCTGATTCAATGTCCTTGGCTGGCCGCATGTTTTAAGCACCGTTCGATCTGCGTTTGACATCTCTCTGCAGCAGCAGCGGGGGCACGCCGCCGACACAAATCCAATGTGCTGGGGCAAGCCACCAACGCGGGCCGGGGCACGCCGCCTGAGCCACATCATGGTTACCAAACTCACAAACTTACGCGGCAGAGCGCGCAAAAGCCCAGCGTTGCGGCTCAGTTGGGCTCCCTGTCCGTGGGGTCGTCCTCCTCTTCCTCGGCTGGGTCTTCAGTGGCCGGCGGCGCGGCAGCCTTAGCCTTGACTCGTCTGCCTGCTTGGGGGCTGGTCCGGTGCCTGGAGCAGGCGGCGCAGCTTTCAGCATGTTCTCCACCAGGTCGACCAGCGCCGAGCCACTGTTCGGCGGCCCTGCCCCCCCGTTCTTGGCAGGAGGAGGCACTGGGGCGAAGCTGCCAGCCTGGCTTTGCTCACCGGCGGCGCTTTTCCTCCGGCCTTGCCCCTCGTCAAGTTGCTGTCACCGCTGTCCGCCTGCGTCGTGGTTGGCAGGCACGGCGAGACCACTTGGTTTCAGACTGGTTTGAAGTATTAAAGCAGCAGAATAAACACTGCGTCTGTGCATAAAACAAAGCACTGGCCTGCAGAGCGTCGCGCAGCTCTGCAGCGTAATGCTGACTGCTTGGGCTCTGCACGTGTGCCCACAAGCGGCCGAAGAGGTACTGCCGCACGACATTATGTGAAGACTATTTTCCAGGCTGAGGTAAGCCGCCAACGCCGTCGCTGCTGCGGCTGCCTTGCTCGTCAGTCTGACCCTTGCCCGCCGCGCTGCCGCCTTTGAGGCCCTTCCCGCCAATTGGCGCAACCACGCCCATGAAGAAACCTACGATGACGCCAGCAACGAGCGCAATCGACATGGCTGCAGCTTTCACGCCAGTGATGGGGCAAGCCACCAAAACACGGCCGCGCCTGCTAACTTGTCTAAGAGCCGCCAAGCGAACACAGCGCGTCTTGACTTGCCAAGCACGGATGGTTTTGCAAGCGGGCCGCAGTGACCAAACCTTGGAAGCAATAGAAAACAACTGCCTTCTGAGCTGTCGCCATTGAGTCTGTGTAACCGCACAATCAGGAAAACTTTAAGGTCACTAGTCCAGATTTGGCGTGGGGCCAGGCCCCACTAAAAGTCTGGTAGTAACAATGCGCGCGCCCGCAGCTTGCAGGCAGACTTCCCACGAAAGTCTTGTTTTTCGAGCCGCCCTTACACACGAAAGCCTTTCTGAGAACGCTTCCGGAAAAGGGCGGTTTCAGAAGCGCCCCTTCTGAATCCTTACTGCTGGATGGGGCATGCCACCGAAACCAGCGTAAGTCATTGTGGGCGCCGGGCGGGGCAAGCCACCGAACCCGCAAGCGCACACCGCAACAAGCATATCTGCTCTGCAAAAACACATCTATCCGCTTGAAAAAAATGATCCGCAAGAAACATACGACTTGGGCGGCTCTTGCGTCGCATCACGCATGTCCGTTCGTCAGCTCACAGCTTTCCTGTGAGACTCTTTTGCCCTGAGACGCCTTCCCTCTTGCTTGCAGAAGGCGTAGGGGCCGGGCGGGGCAAGCCACCGAACCCGCAAGCACAAGCACATGCAACAACTTCAATCGTTGGCGGGCTTCACTTTGGAGGAAGGGGGAGCTGGGCACCCTATTGCTGGATGGGGCATGCCGCCAAAACCAGCGAAAGGATTTGTTTAAGGGGGCCGGGCGGGGCAAGCCACCGAACCCGCGCAAGCAAACGCAACAACGTCAATCATTGATGGGCTTGGGAGGAGGGGGGGTGGGGCGGGGCAAGCCACCGAGCCCTCAAACAACAAACGAGATGAAAAAAAAATTCCGTTCCGACTCTCCGAAGGCGAGCAGCCAGCGAAAAACGATGCTGCAGGAATCAAGCCTTTCGCAACAATGGGCACACAGGCGCATTATTATTGTCCCGTCCTGCCCCCCCCCTTCCCACCGAAAAACAACTTGAAACCCAAACAATTAACTTCTCTAAAGTCAACCTCAGCGACATAAATCGAGCAACAAATGCCCGCGAAAAACTGGAAAAATGCAAAATGCAAAAAAACTTTAAAAACATGAACAATTGCCAGTTCAGTTGCCAGCAACACCGACCTGCGTTGCACCAGCGTAAATGGTCTTGTGTGCCAAACGCACCCTTGCAAGAGCGATTTCCGGCGCCGTGATTCGTTCGCTCCCAACCGCACAAGAACTGCAAATGATCCAATTGAACGGACTGTGAGCTGTCTGCAGGCGGACCAACGCGTCCACAATTTGTGGGTGAAGCCTTCCTCCGGAACGGATGTTCACGTCGTTGAGCGTCTTCCGGGGCGCAAGGGCTGGACGACTCGGGAATCCCAAGGTTCTGCCGCCTTGGTGGCGGAGGCGCGGCAGCTCGCGCTGGCGCCAAAGGGCTCGGAGCGCCAATGCTCCAGTTGACCTTAGCGCTGCTGGCGGCTTCTTGTACCTAATGCGCGCCCACTTCTTGTTGCCAGATCAGCGAATCCCGAAGTTTTGGTGCCTAGCTCAATGATCCGCTGGCAAGTGCCCCTTTTTCTTGAGCGCTTGAGCCACATGGCAAACTGCACCGAGGTGGCCTCAAGCAAGCCTCACTCAAGGTATGCACACAACTAGGCAAGTTACCATGCCTTTGGGACCAAAGAGGTCATAATTTCTTGACTTTCACACGTGAAATTGCGAAGGTAGACTTTTTCGGCTCCGCCTGGCCTTGGTCATTTCTAGCTAGACATGGCCGAGGAAGAGTTGGAATAAGATCGAAGGGCTTGGAAAAACATGGAAAGAAGTGGAATTGAACGTTGAAAGAAATGGAAAGAACTTGGAACAAATGGAGAGGACATGTACATATACTGTATAGCAATGGGACAATTCAAACAAGGACTGGAAAGGATATAGAAAACATGAAAGGGAATGAAAAGGACATGGAAAAGAAATGGAAAGGAAACCCCCCTCCCCCCCTCTAATCTATCTCACATCAACTCTCTAGCAAAGTCGTTTTCTGTCATCTGACCTGCAGCTGTTTGCCTCATCTCTATCTGGGACTACTGGCTCCCAAACAGCTCACCAGAAACCAACCGCCATCGATGTGCGGAACCAAACATAGCACGATAGCTGACCTTCTCCTAGTTTGCACATCGTTGACTGTTTCCTGCAGCACATAAGAATCGCTTGGATAGTTCTCCGTCTGAACAAGATGTCAAAACCAAATCATGCAAGTGCCACTTGGATTCGTAAGGCGTCGGCCGACAGCGAGCATCGTCTCCCCCAAGGAAGCCAAAGAGGCCAGAGCAAGCAACAGGACCAGGGACCCTGAGATGATCTGAGATGGATGAGAACATTCACATGCGTCCACTACGCAGCATGAACAAAAAGGATGCAAGGAATCTGAAATCTCCGTCTGAAATATGTATCTCTCGTTCGAAAAGACATTACGCCTTACTTTTGTTTTATCTTGCTTTCTCTCTTTTCTGTTCTTTCCTTTCTATTGGCTTGCTCTTTCTCGTTCTCTCTTTTCCCTTTGTCCTTCCTTTCCTTCCATTTCGGGCCACAAAGAGATGGCCAGGCCCAGGTCTCCTCAAAGGCCAGGCCCAGCACCGGCGCTGTGATCACTGCGGCCTGGCGAGCCACGAGAAAAACAGAAAATGAGGAATAAGAAAAAGCAAAGGAAACGAACACGTACGCGAAAAACACAACTTGAGAATTTGTATACGCATTGTAGAATACGAATACGACAGGAAAGGAAGCACGAACGAGGCGAAAAGAAAGCATGGCAAGCAAACGAACACAAAAAGAAAGAGGCAAAGAGGAAAGAGGTAGCACGGAAGCCAAAACAATAGAACAAACCGGGAGAAAAGTGGTTTTTAGCATTTAGATCCAAAATTAGGCTTACCTCGAAGTGTTGTTTCTCTCCTCTCGACATCGTCTATGCATTGATCGTGTTGGAATTGTGTGTTCTTGTAAACTTGATGCGTTTCATGTTCATTTCAAGCTCTCTCTTCCTTTTCTCTCTTTTCTCTTTTAGGTATGTACGTGTGTACCTGAGGCTGTAGCCATTGCGAGGTAGTTCACAAACCTCAACCCAGTAATGTCCACATTAGTCACCGGGGCCGAACTGCAGTTGAGCTAAGCCACGCGCACAATGGAATGAACGTCTTTGTCTCCTGGCAATCAATGGCAACCACACACACACACGCACCATGCACCTTCTCCCAGTATTTTGTTCACTGCCGTCCAAGCTTCTAAGAATCCGAATGATGAGGTAGACACAAGTCGCACCTGTTGCAAGGCATGCAATTTTTGCAACTTCAAAAACCTTTTGGATTATCTGGCCATGGCACAAACAGCAGCTGCGCTGGCTGCAAGCAGCCCGAGTGGCGACAACTCAGCGTTTCCCTCCTCAAATCAAAGTGTTCAGGCTTCGCAGCCGCAAAGCGTGTTGCAATGTCCTTGAGGCCCAAAAGGTGAAATAAAATTGGCGGCTTGCTGATCATCATGACGCCTATCGAAGTGTGCGAAAGCGAATCTGAACTCTTCAAAAACAGAAATATATCTAAGATCTTCTTCAAATTATCCTTGTCTTTTCTCATCGTAAACGTGTCCATGTCACGCCTACAAGGCATAAGGCAGACCCCAGGAAGTCCAGGCTGTGCCAGGCCTCCCCCAAAAACGTGGCCCCGAAGGCTGTCAGCACCTGACGGCATGAGCGCCCCAAATCATGCAAGCGCAACTTGGGCAATATGAAAATGGAAACGGAATCAAACAGAAACGATTTTGTTTGCACTTGCGTCTGACGCGCGCAACGCCCCATTCATGTTAATGTTAATCTTCTTATTACGTGTGGTTTCATGTTTAAACTTATTTTGAGAAAGACATTAAGATGGGAGATTCCATGTTTCCCGTGTTCAGGTTTTTTCTCTGGTGCTCCGACAGGCGAGGTGTAGGTGAGCACAACGGCGTCCGACATTGGCAGCACCGCCAGCGAGTAGTAGTAGCTCGCCTTGCACTGTTTTCACGCCTTTGACTTCTTTCATTTCTCTTTTCTCTTCTTTCTCTCATTCTTCTTCTCTTTCTCTTTCTCTTGCCCCTTCTCTTTCTATCCTTCTCTTTTCTCTTCTTTCTCTTTCTTCTCTTCTCTGTCTTTCCTTTTTTCTCTTCTTTTTCTTCTCATTTCCTCTTTCCCATTTCTTTTCTTTTTTCCTCCTTCCTTTCCTTTCCGTTCGACGGGGCGCCATGAAGGCCACGCCGCAGAGGCCCCGCAGGCCGAGGAGCCCGCGGGCGCCCGCGGGGCCCAGCGGCGCCACGCCCGCCCAGCGCAGCGCCGCCCACGTCTGCCCCAGCCTCTCCAAACGAAAAGACGAAAAAAGAGAAAGGAAAAAAAAAGAAAAAGAAAAGACTTGAATAAAAAGAAAAGAAAAAAAGAAGAAAGAAAAAGAAGGGGGAAAAAGAAAACGAGAGAAGGGAAGAAGAAGAGAAAAGGAAAACAAGAAGAAAAGGGAAGGAAGAGAAGCGCGGCGCACAACACTGCACGCACTTCAAACAAAAACCCAATGGCTCCACCTATTGTGGAAACAACCAAAAGAAATAACCAAAGTGGATGCAACACTGCAATTGCTGCCAAGCCACATGAAGAAAGAGCGCCAAAAAACAAGCTCAAATGGTTGGAATTTGTGACCTGAAAATGAACGGCATACGGTGCCATGTCACGCAGTCACCTGCCCAACTCTGAGAGAAATGCAAATGCAAATTGCAGTCAAAGTTCTGGAGACTCTTCCGGAGCCGAGCTCAGCTGCAAGCAGGGCTATTAAAGAGAAACACCAGGCGCCTGGATCGAGTCGAGTGCAAAAGCAAGGTACGGACCGTAGGATCGTTTTCGCAAAGTGCTAGTAGGGTCCAAAGTCCAGTCCCCATGCCTCCGAGCATGGCCAGAAGCCCCACCACTCCATCGCGCATCAGGCAGCAAAGCCACGAGGAAAAGGAAAGGCCGCAACAACCCTGAGCCGAGAAGCGCCGAACGCCTCGCAAGGAACCGAGAAATGGACTCGAACAAAAAAAACAGGACGAAATAGACCAAAAACCAAACCACACCACAAGGCAGGCCTGAAGCAATGCTCCGTTGCGTGCACTAAGTGAGATGCAGCAAACACGTCATTTCAACCTTGGTAGGATCGAACCTTGGTAGGATCGAATTCCGCTCGCCGATGCTTGGCTATACAACTTGGCGAGCAATAGTCAAAACCTGAGCAGCACACATCGCCAACCAACAACTAGGAAGCTGAGGCTGCGGCCCATTTTACTGAAGTGTTCACCTTCCATTTTCCTGTGCAGTGTGAATGTCAACACTGCAGCCAGCGTCAAATGCGGTCAGCCTTGTTCCGCACCAATGGCACTCAATCTGGCGTGTCACCTTGCCAACTGGCAAACACAATTTGAAAATCAAGATACGCAATCCAGCAAACAAACGCTAATCGCACATGTTTTGCGCACTTAGCGCCTAACTGGTGCATATGCACTCACTCTCAGCAAGCCTTCTCTGGTTTTGCAGGAGCCACCCAGGGAAAGCTGAGAAACGAAAGCGCGTTCGCCCACACGTTCTCCGTCGACACACCTGGCGCACGTCCCGGCTGCCAGCCAGGACACGACCCAACAAAACGCGCCCCAGGACGCGCACCTGCATGCTTCAGAAGGTCTAAAGCATGGGCCAAACCTGGCAAACCCAACACAAAAGGTCCCAAACGGAGTTGTTTGCCTCTTTGACAGGCACATCTTCATATGTCTTCTCTCGTCCCTCCCCATGCCCACATGCTACAAACTCCCATTGAATGCCCGAGGCGCACGGCTTACACCCTGTAGCCTGGCCCGCCGAAGGCTGTGAGGTCAGTCCGGAACCGCAAGCCCGAGCTGATGAGGGCATTCACGCCACAAGCTTTCACAGCTTCCACAAAGTCTGGCTCAGTCCTGAGCCGAATGGCCGAAATAAGATTTCCAATCTCCAGCAAGGCTCACATGTCAGCCTCAGCGGCCGTCGGCCAGGATAGTCCTAGAGGTGACAAATTGACGAAATTCAATGAAAATCCCACGGCCCACGGCCATTAGGTCGCGTCTCTGGACGGCTCCTGCCACGCGACATCCGTGCCCGCAGAGAAACCCACGAAGGCGCCAAATTCCTGACGCTTTGGGCGGTAGACGGACACGATCCCTCGCGCAAGGTTGATATGCTTGACTACGTGTATGGACGCAAAGACAAGGCATACGCGTGCTGATGTGCGGCACACGCACTGATGGCGGGGAAACCCACTACGGCGGTTCAAGCTTAGACGTTCAACGGTCAAACTTGAGGAGGGTGCTTGGGCTTCTCTCATTGGAATTGGTTCCCGCAGGTTGTCGAGGTGATGAGCCGCGTTTGCTGCGGCCACGTGGGTTGAAAAAAGTACCCCGTTGACAACCCTTATATCCTTATACCCTAGTGTCTCGTTTTCTACTCAGCATCGGTTTGCAAGTGCTTTGGCAGCTCTAGCTCGAAAGTCGCGGCTTTTCCGTGCAAGTGTAGTATACGAAATACACTCTGGCAGCTCCGGCTCGAAAGTCGCAACTTTTCAGTACAAGTGCAGTGCGCAAAATACATTTTGGCAGCTCGGAAGGGCAGGGCAGCTGGTTAGATTCGGCAGGACGACTAATGAGTTGGGTATCGGTTGGGCATCGCTTTGGGTATCGGCTTGGGCCCTGCAAACTCATGATTCCGAAATCTCGGTTTGCGACAATAACTTGAACCTGATGTGTGTCTTCATGACTTCTGGGAGTATCGTTTTTTCCTGCGTATCGGTTTACAATGCTCTTGGCCTGCAAAACAAGTTAAGGGACGGCCCCTTACATAACAAAAAGGCGCGGGGTTGCTTTTTCAGCCCACGTCGTTGGACAGCAAACGCATGGCCGTCTTTTGTGAATTGCACGCAAGTCGGCTTTGGGGCTGATCCGCCAGGCGGTGTGTGTGCTCCAAAGCCACGTTGGGCTGAAGCTGAGAGCGCCGCAGAGGTGGCACATCGTCTGGTATGGATGGCTAAAAGCCTCACGGACATCCAAGACAATCCCAGCGTTGGCAGCGTGAACATGTCGGTCCTGCGGGGCCTGCCTTCCACTTCTTACGGCCCTGGACTGAGGGCTGTTACAGCGACAGGGTTAAGGAGATTTGGGCTCAGCATTCGGGAAATCACGGCGCGTGTCGTAGGCGAACTGCGGCTCCGCGTTTGCGGGTGGCTGGCCACGGCTCGTCAGGCAACGCGTCTTCGGGCCGGATGTCCTGAATCGTTTCCACGCGCTGCAAACCTGTGCTGGGGCCTTTTCGCGCCCAAGCCGCAATTTCGGAAAACCGGCGAAGTCCGCGCAGATTGCAAACACAGCAGCCCGGCTCAAGACTCGCAGATGCTTCTTCCGTCAAGCGCGCTGCGTGCCACGCCAGCTGCTGCGGCTGCCGGAGCGTGGCCCCTCGTTTCAACAATGCGACGCGCAAAGGGCGCCTTGCGCTCGGCCAACTGGCTGACCCAAGTCAGACTCTTCACAAAACCGTTGGAGCAGGTGGCTGGTAGGCATCCAGGCGCGCATGAATTGTTCTGTTAAGGGGTTTGCTCGTCCTGAGACTGCAGATTCATGCACTCTTTCTTCCTATCGGGGTAGAACGGCCGTGTTGCGCTTGCGTACGCTGCCTGGCAATTTGTGACATGCGCAAGGCATTAACAATTGTTCGCTTGTTGTCTCTGACTCCGGCGCGCGGGTCACGAAGAAGGCCCGCGACCTTACCTTCCGCAGGCCCTGGGTTTGTCGCAAGCCAGGCGAAATTGAAAGCGGTCCTGCCACCGTCAGGTGGCGGGAAACTTTGGCAGCGCCAGTTCACAGGTCGGGACAGGTTTTTTGAGCGATTGGCTTGGAACAGTCTTGGGCGGGGCAAGTTATGGGGTAGCCCAAAGACCCGTGCCTCCAGGAAGGCAACAACCTACATTTCCCCCGTTTTCCGGCGCAAAGCCGCTACTCAAGACACACCGCACGCCTGCGCGCAGTATTTACAGCAACCCGGCCAAAGCTTGACCTTGGGGTCTTGGGAGCTGCTTGCTTGCGCCAGTCAGACCAATGTAACGGCGGGCAAGCTTTAACAACTGCGAGACCGCACACCTGCGCGCGAGACCCGGTCCTGCAGCTCTTTCAGGGCCATAGGGCTGTCGGTCGGCACGTCGAAAAACGCGCAGTGCCTGAAGGTGCTAAGGCGACACCCAGAAAAATTACATAATGATCTCACTCAACACTGTTCCTGTCACGGAACCACCGCGCAACAGCAACGCCGCCTCATAACCTTCAACTGCTTGCCAGCTCGGACAGCTTCCCGCGCTGATTTGTGTCTCAGGTTTCCTGTGCTCCTTCCTGCCCTTCTCTTGGAGCGCAATTTCTGTTTGCCCGTCGGCTTGTCATCTTTCTACTGCGCCACGAGCGGGGCGCCAAACAAAACAAAGAATACACAGACCGACTCCTGCAACCCGCAACGCTCCAACGGAACTTCTACAAGCCCCAGCACCTTGAAATTGAACGCCCAGGCTCACCATGAGTGACCTATAGTTCTAAGGCCAGAAACTGATGTTATACGAGAGGCGCGCGTCATAAGTTCTTGACAGGTTGTTGCAAACGACTTACGGCGCTTACGATTCTTGCGCGCTCTCGAGGTTTGCGTGAGAGCAGCGACAACGATTCACGCGGCTCGAGTGTGTGGTTTGGTGTAACTGGAGCAATGCGGGGGCGAAACGAAACCAGTACTTCGTTGAAAGAAAGGCGCGAGGTCAGCGCGCAGGCTTTACAAAGATGCTTTGTGTGCTTGTTCGGGCGCGGAACCACGTTTGCGAGCAAATGCGTTCCAATGTTGGTGGGGGTTTCGGGTGCGTGGGTCGGTTTGAAGGAAGGTGAAATTAGACATGTTCAAGGGAGCCGATAAGTTTTGCAGACTCAACGGAAATACAGATGTCGAAAAATGTCGGAGCGTCAATTCTTGCACGGAGGCGACGCGTCGGCAAACAGGATTTTTTCGCGCTGCCATGAAAAACTGACTTTGGGCACGTGTCTGGCGCGCATTCTTGGCGCTCGCTTGGCCTTTCGCGCAGGTTCCCCTTGTTCGCCGGGCTTGCTTCGACCCGCAGCAGCCCTTTGATAGCAGCAAGAAAAATGCACATTTTATTCACTTAATCTCTTGGTGTTCATCACGGAAACTCCTTTCAGAATAATTCCAAACGGCTTGGGCTTTAGAATTTCAGTCGCTGAGCGGAGTTTGGCTCCCGGCTTACGTTTCATTTGTCTGTTTCCTCGCAACCCGTAGCAAGAGCTATCATCTTAAAATTTGCAAGCAGTAAGACTGCTTAGACTGCTTCACCCTGAGCAAGACTGCAAAGCAGTCATACGTCAGGTGGCTCAAGCTTCCCCGCAATCCCGCAAGAAATTACAACGTGGTCTCTAGTACAAGAGGACTTATAGCCAAGGTTAGCAGAACTAGCAATTATGCATCTAAGATAACTAGAACTAACGGTAAATAACTGAAATAAGTAAAGCTAACTAAAATAACTAGAAAGAACTTTTTCGACGATTTTTTGGCACTTTTTTGCAACTGGTAAATAATTGACTCGGCGAGTTTTTGACAAGCAGTCCATGGGAGCCTGTGCATCGCAAGCGTGCTTGTTGATTGAGCGGTCGGTCATCATATGTTTTTTGCACGTGTGCTTGTCCGTTGAGTTGCTGCGCCAGGAAGCTTTCGCGTGAGTTTTGTGTTTTTGGGCAGCCAGGGTTTCCTACATTTGGCTGGGCCAGTTTTTATTTTTTCTTGGCGGCTGCCTCTGCTGAACCCGGCCGCGCGCCAAGTTTCAGTAAGCAGGACATACCTGCAGTGGGCTCTTGCAGCTAGAAGCTTTCCGGCGCACCTGGACTCGTTTGCTGCCGCGGGTTTGCGCGGCGAGCATTTCAGCAGCAGGACTTCTCATGGGAGCCTTCACTTCACAGCCATGCGCACGCGGCTTCCCCCTGCGAGCATTTCAGCAGCATAATTTCTCCATGGGAGCCTTCGCTTCATGTGAAGTCTGAAGAATGGAACACGCGCGTTTCCACAGCGAGCATTTCAGCTGGTTTTTTTCATGGGAGTCTTCAACTCACATGTGATTTTCTGTAGAATGGAACAGGCGGGTTTCCACGGTGAGCGTTTCAGCAGCAGGATTTTTCCATGGGAGCCTTCACTTCATGCTCAAACGTGATTGTACACAATATAGAGAGTGAAACACGTGGCAGCTGCTTCATGTGTATCTCTGCAAGAAGCTTTGGCATCATCCCCTTCTTCTTTTTGTGAAGTAGTTGGTTTTGCTTCCCGCCGCACATCGCAGCGCGTTCGCGGCACGTCGCGGCGCATTCCACAGGGTGCCCAGCAATCCGCCGACCCCTTGTCCGCAAGGGTGAGGCGCACGGAAAGGGCCATCATCTCTTATGAGGCAGCATTGGTAATGCAAAGGATCCTACGATGATAGTTATCATCACAGTCATGATCCTTATCGCCAGAGTCATCATCCTCATCCTCACGGTCATCATCATCATCTCTTATTAAGCAGCATTGGTAATGCAGATGATGCTACGATGATAGTTATCATGACAGTCATCATCTCTATCATCATCCTCGTCGTCATCACCATCACCCTGATCATCATCATTGCGGTCATCGTCATCCTTTCCGTGCTTCTTTCTTCTTTTTGGACGCAGAGGATGCTACGACGATAGATATCTTCACAGTCTTCATCCTTAACAACATTGTGCTCACGATCCTTCCTCATCATCTCTTATGAGGCAGCATTGGTACTGCAAATGTTGCTACGATGAGAATTATCATGACAGGCATCATCCTTATCATCGTCCTCGTCGTCATCATCATCACCCTGGTCATCATCACTGTGGTCACCATCATCCTTTTCTTGCTTCTTTCTTCCTTATTGGACGCAGAGGATGCTACGTCTTCACAGTCTTCATCCTTAACATCATTGTACTCACGATTCTTCCTCATCATGTCTTTTTAAGCAGCGTTGGTAATCTTGGTAATGCGGATGATGCTACGATGATAGTTATCATGACAGTCATCATCCTTATCATCATCCTCGTCGTCATCATCTGGTCATCATCATTGTGGTCATCATCATCCTTTCCGTGCTTCTTTCTTCTTTTTGGACGCAGAGGATGCTACGACGATAGATATCTTCACAGTCTTCATCCTTAACAACATTGCGCTCACGATCCTTCCTCATCATCTCTTATGAGGCAGCATTGGATCATGACAGTCATCATCCTTATCATCATCCTCGTCGTCATCATCATCGCCCTGATCATCATCATTGTGGTCATCATCATCCCTTTCTTGTTTTCTTCTTTTCAGAAGCAGAGGATGCTACGATGATAGTTATCGTCACAGTCATCATCCTTATCATCACAGCCATCATCCTTATCATCATCATCTCTTCTGAGGCAGCATTGGTAATGGAGAGGATGCTACGATGATAGTTATCATCACAGTCATCATCCTTATCATCATCCTCGTCCTCATTGATCATCATCATTGTGGTCATCGTCATCCCTTTCTTGTTCTCTTCTTTTTAGATGCAGTTATCGTCACAGTCATCATCCTTATCATCACAGTCATCATCCTTATCATCATCATCTCTTCTGAGGCAGCATTGGTAATGGAAAGGATGCTACGATGATAGCTATCATCACAGTCATCATCCTTATCATCGCAGTCATCATCCTGATCATCATCATCATCATCTCTTGTGAGGGTAATGCAGATGATGCTACGGTGATAGTTATCATGACAGTCATCATCCTGATCATCATCCTTGTCGTCATCATCATCACCCTGATCATCATCATTGTGGTCATCATCGTCCTTTTCTTGTTTCTTTCTTCTTATCATCACAGCGGTCATCAGCTGCCACAGGCGGTGCTGGGGACGTTGTTCGTGATGTTGGCAATGCTGGGTCGCTGCATCCCACCACTTGCGGAAGTCTGGCGCTGCTGGGGGTGTTGTCGGTGATGCTGCTTAGGGCATGATCACGACTGCTGGTGTGCGCTTGGTGATGCTGGCGATGTGGGGCTGCTCCATCCGATCCGACCCCTTCCGAAAGCAGTTCAATTTGTGGGGTTTGTGTCGCTGGTGATGCTAGTGGTGCTGGCGCTGCTGGCCATGGGACAGGGGGCTTGTTGGGCTTGTTAGGCTCGTCCGCCTCCTGGTCTATCGGGACGCTGGCGATGCTGCGCCGCTCTATCCGACCACTGGCGCTAGTGGTCGGAAGAGTCCGCGCGTGCTCGGGGTGGCCAAGTGCGTCACAGAATCTGCTCCCTAGACACAGAGGTCAGCTAGGCAAGCTCTGCCATTTGATTATTCTTGCCATGACACTTCCTGAGGTGTCGTTGTGTTCGAGGCGTGCGGAATAGCTTGTAAAACAACAACAGCAACAACAACAACAACAACAACAACAACAACAACAACAACAACAACAACAACAACAACAACAACAACAACATCAACATCAACAACAACAACAACAACAACAACAACAACAACAACAACAACAACAACAACAACAACAACAACAACAACAACAACAACAACAACAACAACAACAACAACATCAACAACAACAACCACAACAACAACCACAAACTAAGACATGTTGATGCTTGCGGGGGCAGCCTAAGAAATCACACGCTTTTGCATTTATGTCAGCCAAAATCACAACTTCGTCTGTCAGGATTCTTGAAATGCCACGGTTCTGGAGCCAAGGCCCTTCCCCTTCTTCGTGGCCCGCCAAAGGAACCCCCCCCCCCGGGTTGGCGGCGCTGGGCGGCAGCCATCACGGTCGCAGGCCTAGCCCGGTTAGGGCTTACCTTCAGGTATTTACGCTGCTTGCGCACAACCGGCCGCGGCAGCAGCGCGACGCCGAATTCCACATAAGATGTAAAGAGAATAAACATTCTACGGCTTTACGATTCTAAGGCTTCAAGGGTTTAAGGTTGTAATTTCAAGTTTTTAAGATGTTAAAATTTGAAGATCTTACGACCTTAAGATTTTAAGAATCGTCTAGGTTCAGTTCCTGAAGGTTTGCAGCTTTTTAGATTGTAAGAAATTAAGCTTTTAAGATTTCAAGATTGTACTAGTTTATGGTTTTTCCAAGGTTAAGCGCTT